TAGAAAAATACAAAATATAAAGCATTACATTTTAAACATGTTTATGGGAAATCCACATTTTTTTTTCCCCATAAAACATTGCTGCTACTGGTGTGAGCTTCCAATATACTATCCTATTCCCAAGTACCTACCATTTTAAGTCAGAGATACTGAAATTCTTTAAGAAAAATGTAAATGAATGGAATAAACAAGAAGCAATATAATTTTTTTTAGGTGCAATGAAAGGCTAAAGAAAAAATTACATTGGTAGGTGATGGTTTTCCTGTAAGATAAGGGAAGGAAGAAGGGCTTTGTCTCACCGGCTTTCGACTTCTATAGAAAGCATCCAATTAGGTTTGTATTTTATACTATCTGTGTCGACTATCAGATTATTATTGTTAAAGATATACTCGGTGAGAAATTATATGTGATTTCTGACAGATTTCACTGGAAATTGAACACAGTGTACATTGTACCATCACCATAACGTAAAAATGGTGAGAAATTATATGTGATTTCTGACAGATTTCACTGGAAATTGAACACAGTGTACATTGTACCATCACCATAAAACATAAAAATCTTCTACCCTCCAAAAATTGCTTTTCACATCTGAATGTAAGGTGAAAACACCCTTTTTGCCCATCAAGTTTATCAGAAAAAATTCACATTCATACATTGACTTAAATATTCAATAATTATTGCAATATTTTTCAGAAGAAGAGCCTAGAGGCACTACATGACTCAGGGTTGGGAAGGACATAACACTGGAAATTGAATACTTTCAGCTTGATAATTCTGTCAGAATTTTCCGTTTTCCATTCCTGACTCTTTTGTTTGTCTTTCCTGTCTCTTGGTTTTGTCTCCTGTTATTCATATGATTAAGCATTTTTATGATACATAAATTTCACATGAGCAATATGACACTAGCATTGCAAAGATGCTTTTTAGCATTTGGGAAAACATTTGAGCAATTAATCTGAATTGAAAAGAGAGCAGCTCTATTTTTCTCACGCATCATCAATAGCGTACTATGCACTGAAGCCAAGGAGAAGTCCTGATAGTTTGGTTTGGTTTTCCACAGAAAAAGTGGTTATCTTGCAAATGTCACCAACACTATCTGGATATCGGCATAATACAGCATCACACAAAATATCCATCTGCTTACCTGTGATGAAGCTCTCTCTCTGCTTTCCCTGGTGTGCTTTATGACATGAAAAAGTGAGAACAATTTAAAGATTATTTCCACTGTCTGATACACTCCCTGAAGATATTCCAAGCAATTTCTTAATTGTCCCTGAAGAATTTGAAAGTTTAACAAAATACAAGAGGGGGATTTGTTAATTGTATTCATCAGTGAATACAATTCCTTTGTTTGTTTTTGTATTAAATTCTTACCTTTTATTCTGAATTAACTTTCTCTCTTTTCTTCTGCTTTGATGGTTACTTTTTATGTCTCATGGCTAGATTATGATGGCCAGTTTGTTGGTCAAAAATCAGTCTAGGGTTGCTGTCAAGATTTTTTTTAGATGTGATTAACACTCAAATCAATACACTTTGAGTACAGCCAGTTACCCTGCAGAATGTGGGTGGGTCTCATTCAATCAGCTGAAGGTCTTTAAACAGAAAAGCCTGATGTTTATATGTAGTGTGTATGTGTGTGTGTATAGATAGATAGATAGATAGATAGATAGATATAGATATAGATATGGATATAGATATAGATATAGACATAGACATAGAGATATAGATATAGATATAGATATAGATATAGATATTATAAAGCTTAAGTGGAATTTTCTAAAATGAAGTTGCAAATGTGAAATTTGAAACTATATCAGTAAACTTTTAAAACTCTGTACTTTAAAATCAATTTGCCTAAAA